TTTCTATCGGTCCAGTCAGCGTATACGCCTCTTCTCGCTCCTCACGCCTTGCTGCACGATCCAGTCTAGTCCAGTTGACCACAATCAGGAAGATGATCGGTGATGGTAGGCGACAACCTTGTATTCCTCCTGTCTTCACTTCGAAGTCATCACTGAGCTTTCCATTGTGAATCACTTGGCATGTAGCATCATGTAGCATAGCACATAGCTGGTGTTGAATGAGGTTGATGGAGGTTTGTGTCACTAAAATTGGAGTGTTGGAGCAGCTGCCTGACAAATTGCTTCTCAGTCGACGCTATCGAAGGCCTTTCGAAAGTCGATGAAGTTGAGGTAGACAGTTGAGTTGACTGTCATTCTATGCTGTGTTCTATGATGATGTGTAGTGTAGCATTGCAATTTGATCCACACATGATTTCTTTTTCTTGAAGCCAACCAGCTTGTTCTCGTCGTAATTTTGAGTGCAGAGCATTTTCCTTTAAGTCTCTCTAGGATAATGTTGCCCAATATTTTGCCTGGGGTGGAGAGGAGCATGATTGTGGGCCAGTTCCTTCAAATCCTTCGGTCACTCACCCTTCTCTGGAAATTTTGCCAGGGTAGCCCTTCTCCCAATTAGTTTCCCTTCCTTCCTTCCAAACCTTCTGCAATAGTTGGGTTAGCATGTCCACCGCTGATGTCACACCAATATATTCCAAATGCCAGTTTTTGGTGATTCTACACATTTGAAGCCTTCATGCGACTATCCTTCTACTTCTTTAAAGAAATTCTCAATATCCACCCAGGAAGCTTATTCCTTGTCAAGAGCTTTTGCTGCTGAAGATTATTTAGCGACAACATGATCGTAGCTTCACAGATTTTTTATTATTACTTCTTATTATATCAACCAGTTTCCACGGACACTCATCTCTGGCAACATGCTGGTTTACTGTAGTTAGCAATAATTATACAAAAGACGATCAGTTGGCCAGAAAGAATCAGCAACAAGGAACTCTGGGAACGAACCAACCAAGAACCTATCACCCAACAAATATGCAGGAAGAAGTGGAGATGGATTGGGCATGCACTGAGAAGGCCGACTGAGGACATCACGCGTCAGGCCAGTTGCTCCAGTGGAATCCCCATGGGAAGCGACGAGTTGGACGTCCGAGGGTGACATGGAGGAGGTCGTGTGAGGAGGAGAGGAAAGCTTCTGGGCTGTTGTGGAACGAGGTTCAAAAGATCTCAGAGAACAGTGGTCACTGGAGACGTGCTACTGAAGCCCTATGTTCCACTAGGAACCCAAGGGAATAATAATAATACAAAAGAAAAAGAAACCCTTATTTTAAAATTGAATTCACCATTCCATTGTCAATTTTTTATTACTTCAGTTGATTTTTGACTATCATTTGGCATAACAAGCCACTTTGCAACTACTTGTCAGTAATTCACGAAACCGACCATTACTAGGTGAAATCTATCCTGATGGCTTTTAATTTGCCTTTAGAAGAATGGAGGTGTTGTGAACACAGGCTTCATCCAGGTGCTGAATTTTTCCAAGGGTAAAACAACTTTGGTTACTCTCCGCAATGAATCTGAGATTAACCAATTTCAATACGACGAAGTCTAGCTTTAAACCAGAAAGGTTTTACTACTAGCGGTAAGTGTTGAAATCAGTCATCCGAAGTTCTGTTGATGAATAAGTGGGATCTTCCGACCAAATGAATGATACATGGTTTGGATAGAGACTATAATCATCTGATTGCCAGTATGACCAGCTGATTTCATTTGGTTGGAATAATGTAAGTATTGCTTATTCGATGGAATAAATGTCGCTTAGATGTGCAAAATGATGGAAAGAAAAGTGATATTTTGAAAATTAAAGTGTGAGAGATAGCTGTTCATGTGACAATGGTTAAGTTGTGCATTGTTCGCTCTCGAACTATGAAATGTCTGTGTGATATGTAATTTTCAAAAATTTGAAGCTAATATTATCTTTTTTTCCTTTGTGTTCCTAGTGGGACATACCGCCTCAGTAGCACGTCTCCATTCCACTATGTTCTCTGCAGTCTTCTCAACCTGTTGCCACGACTGCCCACAAGCTTTCATTTCTTCCTCACACCATCTCCTCCATTTCACCCTCATCTTGGACGCCCATCTTGTCGTTTCCCCGTTTGGATTCCATTCGACGGCTTGGCCTGGCGCGGGATATGTCCCCAGTCGGCCTTCTCAGTGTATTCCCAATCCATCTCCACTTTCTTCCACTGCATATTTTTTGGGTGATGGGTTCTTGGTTGGTTCGTTCCCGGAGTCCCTAGTTCCTTATTCTTATTACTGTGGCCATCTGATCTTCAGTATCGAACCAGTGTAGGTGGCAGCTGTTGATGCATGTCTGTAGTTTGTTGGAAATGCTTTTCGTGACACGCCAAGTTTTTTAACCATATCGCAGGACTGACTTGACATTAGTGTTAAAATTCGGGATCTTGTTCTTTGTGCTGAGTGATGTAGATCTCTTTGCTGATTTCAGATTAGTGAAAGCCTGTCTTGATTTTCCGATTCTGGTTTTGACAGACTCATCTTTGCCTGTGCCGCCGCCTGTAGTTGAAACGATGCTGCCTTGGGAGGTACGTGAAAGTGACAACTTACTTGAGGTTTCTCCTGTTGATGGTGATTGGCGCTTGTTGTTCATGCTGTTGTTGGTTGGTTATCTTCATCACCTCTGTCTTCTCTGCATTCACTTGAAGTCTCATTTTCGCTGTCTCTTCTGTCAACTTGTTAGTGTTCACCTGTAGATCTTGGAGTTTGTGCGACATTAAACATAAATTATCGGCGAAATCCAAATCTCCATTTGGGGTCTTTCCATCGGACCAGTGGATGCCCACGGGAGGGGTGGCTATCATGATTTCCCCAAGAACATCAAAGGCTCTCAATGCTCAGAAGTAACTGATTCATAGATGGTAAATGTGATGTTGTTTATGAGAAAAGCATGTAGGCATATTCTGATCCAATGCAACTCAAGTGAAATGGACTATAACCAAGAATTTTGTTTTTAGTACGTTTAATTATTCGCATTTCTTAGTTGTTCTTTTCAAGAACTGGCTATCATGACTCGATGGCCTAGTGATTAAAGGTCTGGCGTTTGAAGCGATCGGTCCCGAGTTCGAGTCCCAATGGGGGCATTATTGCTTAGTGGGAGGTAGGTACATTCAGCTGACGAGTCTCAAATAGGGAGGAACGCGTGTCACAGTTTCCACTGTTAGCCACTATCCATCATTAATATGTTCTTCCCAATGTTTTAATAAAAGTGTTTTATATAATCAGTTGCAAATAGACCAACACATAAAGGAGGAAGTTGCATGTAGACTGAGATAATTCAGTGCCCGATTACTTTTCGAAATGTTTGTCATTCACTACTAACGCAGTTTATATTTTTATTTCATGAAGATGTACATATATCTTCATCTTTTGATTTATATGGAGACTACACTTGTAGCTGTAAGTAATTCAGTGGAGTTACTCTGTTGCTGATCTTCAATAAATGAGATGCTTTAAGCATACATCTAACCACTCTCTATATTAACTTCTTGATTTGTTGAGATCCTCTGGGTGAAACATATGAAAATTTTCAATAGGACATCATTCAACAAGTAAACTTTGATGCATTAATTCTGACTAGAGGAAACGGTTTAAGGATAGCTTCTGTAAGAAAGCCATAAATTAAACATGCATCCTTAAGAAGACGCCTTCAAGCTTTCTGACTACATAACATACTCTATAACGCAAGTGAAAATGTATGTAAAAATGGGTGAGACTAAAAGTTATCCCCAGGTGTTGTAGGATTGTCTGGAAATATATATTCTGAAGCAAAAACCGCAATCCTAATTCCTTTTGGATGTAATTTGAAGCCTTAACTAACTCGCTGTGATCCATGAGCATTATTTATCCTGAATAACTGTACTTACTTTCCACCCCAGAAGTGGAAATGTAGCCAACACTGCACATGAATGAACTGTTTGAAACACGATTCATTGACAGATGGCATTGTAAAAACCATCCAAATAGTTAAAATATTCATACAAAACACAGAAAATGTTGGTATTTCCACAAACAACTGGACAATCTATGGGGAGCATGATAACATCTGGGGATAACTTTTAGTCTCACAGCATATGCACATAGCTAAGTTCATTCTCCAGAAGGTATCACAATTACTCCTTTGTCAGACATATAAAACGAAGATAATTCGTCGTAAAACGGAATTTATATCCATTGTTTATTAAATTATTTACACAAGTTAAGTTTCATATAAGATATTTAATGCGAATCCTTTTGCCAAGATTTATTGAACATTTAAAAACTATTCAACCAACGAATGTTTGAAATGACCTAATTAAACAACAAATTCAAGCGCCAGTTTTCAATTTTATGCTCCATGCAGTACAAATAATTATCCACAAATAAAATGATTGAGTCGTTTGTCAAGCTTAAAAGCATATACATTCGTGATATTATCGTAAAGATAATCAATAATCTGATTACAAAATTTTCTGATGGGTAGTCAAAAAGCATTTCTTTAAGAATAAAACTACAAGTAATCAGGTAAGAAAAAGAATTGTTCCTAATTATGTACATTGTGTATAAAAACACCTAAAGTCATATGGAAAAGTTGTCTTTGGCAATAGTAACTTTATTAAATGGTCTCCCAGAGAGCTTGTGATTCTGTGATTCAGGTCCAATTGTATCCTGAGATCTTTATATGTTTTTAGTATAATCACTTTACGACCAAACCATTTCATTGCTTTATTCGAAGTAAGTATAGATATTTATGTACAACTCATGAAATCTAACAAGTCACGTGATACTCAATAGTAATAAATATGTACTGTGTTAAAGTGTACTTAGGCATAGGGGGGAAACGGTTAAGCATACAGAATGAATTCTTTATACAGTGAGTAGGATTAAGTTAGTGTATCATTAAATAAGCGAATATTGTCTAAATCGTCAATAGTTAGAAAATTTCTCATGAATAAGATTGTGCTTGACTCTGTCTTCTGACAAATTCACCTGATGAAAAAAGAGAAAGAAAGAAGTCAGCTTGTAAGTTTTGGAATTGACTTCATTTTAAGCATCCGATAGTCAAAAATATAACCAATACATTATGATAAAATTTTCTGTTAATATAGAAAAGACAAATAAATAATAATTATTGTAAGAAAAGCAACTTATGTTTTATTCATGTACTTAAGAAGTTGCCCTTTTAACTTTGTAGTCAAATTGGTTACACTTAGGTGTTTGAAGCGACTGATATTGGTTTCAGAGGTTTATTTTGAAAAAGCATTAGTCATTTGGATGCAGGTAAATCCACTTCATGAGTAAAATGTGACATTCATTTTCCTACTAATCACTATCAATTGAATACAATCTCATTAAGTATGTCGTCATTCAAGGTGGCAGTTTGCTAACTTAACGTTCATTTACTCACTCCTGTCAATGATATACCTCATTAACCTACTTTTTCTTGTATTACGCTATCGAATGCATCAATTTTTATCGTCTTACCTCTGAGAAGAGGTCATCTTAGAGATATTATTTTTCCTTAGTTGATAAACCATTCAGATATACGAAATGTCAATAGAAATAGTGCTGATCGTCAATAGTTTCGGAGTTTGCTAGTTAGCATTCAGTGTAAATATTTATTATTAAACAGCTTTTATGTTCCTAGTGTCCTCTTCGTGAACCTGAGAGCTGGCCGGTTGTTTAAAGTTAAATGTGCGTCTATCAATTTGAACTGAAGTACCTAAGCCTCACCTAAAGTAACTGATGAAGCAGATATCGAACTACTGATGTCACAAATTCACACAGAGCAAAACGAACAACTATGACTTCAGGTTGATATTCATCATGGACTTAGTACAGTCAGAGAAACATTGGAGACCTGGAAGCACTACACAGCTGCTGTTTCGTCGCTGTATGCGACTCCTCAGCAGTCTATACCCGTGGCCCCATCCCGCCAGGAGTCGAACTCGTGACCTCGAGATTTCGCTGCCAGCACGTTATTATTGAGCCAATGACTCGGTATCCAATGGTCCATATTTCCTACTTCCGTCAGTTCGCAATGTGATGCCACCCCCATCCAATACCATCTTTGGCTAACTGTCCTCATGTTTGACTTGGTTGGCTCCAGTGGTCATGAATTCTCATTGAAACATTGAGAAGCACCTCTCGAACCGAGTCACCAATGGGTACTAGATTAAGTTAGTTTTAAAGTTTGTGAAGATTCATTTATTGATTTAGGTTGGTATTCATCACGGACTGACATCCTTCGGAGAAACATTAGAGACCTGGGAGCACTGAACAGCTGTTTCGTCTGAGCATGGGATTCCTCAGCAGCCCGCACCCACGACCCCACCCCACAAGGAGTCGAATCCATGTCCTTCAGGTTCCGTGGCCAGCACGTTACCATTGAGCCACTGGGTTGGGATCTAGTGGTCCATATTTCCTACTTCTGTCAGTTCACGAAAAAGCTCAACCTCCTTCCAACGTCGTCGCCGAGTAAGTGCCCCAGTGTCCGACTTGTTTGGCTCCATTGGTTACCGACCAAGTGACTCAATTGTAACGTGATGGCCATGGAACACGAAGGTCCTGGGTTTGATTCTTGACAGTATGGGGTCACATGTTCACATTCCTGAGGAGTCTTATATTAGAAAAAAATAGCAGCTGCCCAGTGCTCCCAGGATCTCAGTGATTTTCCAACTAATGTCTGTTCATGATGAATACCAACAGGGAAATCAATCAATAAATCCCCATAAACCTGCAAATTAAATAATTATGATTTTGAAGCCGATTAACATAAAGAACCACTTTCATTTGTTACCACATGCCGAAATAGTGAAATATGTCATAATATCACTTGACTGATAAAGTATTAGGGTATTTATTGAGAAAATACAACTTACTAGTGGTGAAACTGGATTTCTCAGAGAAAAAAACAGTTTATACATCACACGATGTAGAAATTTCTGAACTTGGGAACTTGTTATTTGTAGACTCACAACTATGGATTAAGACAAGGTCGACAGGATTTCACAGTCTTATATACTGGAAATATATCTGAATATGGAATAAAATTAGAAAAATAAAGAATAAAATACAATAATGCTAAATATTCAGAATAATAATTGTTTTTAAATTTATCCTTTATTAAAATTCAAAAAAAGGATATTTTTAAATCCAAAGAGACCATATAGAAGTGATGTCCAAGCGCAGTCTAATTGTGAGATTCCATTGTGTTTGCTTTGAATACCAAAAAGGTCTCAAACCCCAAGCTGTAACCAGCTTGACACCAAGAATGGTGTAAATTAATGAACTATAAAATCTGGCAAAAGCATACCAATGGACGATATGAGTAATAATAAACCACTTTTATCAACCAGTAGTGTTTGCTAACCATAAAGTGAATGATTTTCGATAAGCGATTTGCATAAATCATAATTCCTAACTAAGTCATTCAAAGGTATTCAGAGGTGTAACAGACTTCATGAAAAATTCCATATAATTGTAACAATAAATAGTTCATATTAAAATAAATACTCTAAATAGGAAAATGTAACGACTTCTCAACGACAGAAAATTACCAGCTATAACAAACAAACTATGCCCGTGACTCAGTAGCCTATTAGATAACGCCCTGTCATTCAGTATGTTCGGTTTGGAGTTCAAGTACAGAAAGAAAAAACACTACTTATTGGGAAACAGGAATTTCCAGCTGAGTCACAAATAGAACAAAACCCGCGTCATGGATTTTACTGCTAGTCACTATCAATCACTACTACTAGATTCCTCATACCCAGCTATGAGGGATATCAAAATGAAGCGTGCAAATTGATCATCCTATTTTAGATAAACCGTTGCATGCGAGTCAGCTAGCGAGGTTCATGTGGTGTGAAGTAATTTTGGTGTATGAGCTGAATTTGATGAGCTGGACCTCGAATGAGCGAAACATACATCTGACGGTTATATCACTCTAACCTGACAATCGAAGGCAAATGTAGAGAGCAGTTTGATTGGCTTCTAACTACTCAAGTTATTCAGCAGTGCATTATGCCATTTGCCGTTGTCTGGAAATACTTTTTAGCCTTGACATATAACTGAAAATCTATGGATTACTTGTGAATCCACAGGAAGTTCACTATGTAGTTCTCAGACACTCACAGCAGCGCATTATACTTTGGATGATGTAAGATGCCTACAGTCGATCAAAATAACACGTTGAATACTCAGGAAATTTGCATTCCTTAGGGTATTCAAACCGTCATTATCTTTCAGCTTAATATAATCGATCTATCTATCTAAACCCAAAATTACTGTATTAAAGAGGGTTAAGTACGCTGTCTCACTAACCGTGATAACGTATATACCTGCAATTGTTATGATATTTGTAATTTCCCGTTGCTATCCAAGGCTGAATCCCTCTCATTAGGATCCTTTCATACTACTGGATATTCAAGATGTGATGTCCATCTTGGTGATTAAGAGGGGAATCCAAGATACGCGTTTTGTCCTGTTTCGAACTCATCAGCTTAACTTACCTACCCCCAGTGGATAATGTGGTTCCGACTGGTTACTGGGTTCCAGTCTTGCTGGGAATACCACCTCTCATCGCGATGCAGGTACAACCGACTGATGAATCTCAGGTGGGACGAAACACGCGCCCTGGACTCCACACCTAGCTACCAACCAAATTTTTGTATATGTGTTGACCAACAGAGACAGATTAGAAACAAACATTTATCTTTCAGATTTTTTACGCTAGTTTTCGAACAACGAAAATTACTGAGTTAGACCATCATTTCAATGATGGCTTACATTGTCGAGTTTCTACTCAGTCAGCTGAATTACATCAGTGATAACCACCTTATAACAATGCATACTTTTATACGATCGTACCGGCTATGGCACCTCACCACCCCATGATTTATTGTCACAAGTTCTGTGCATTTGTGTGTAAGTATACTTAGTGCATTTAAAGAATGGTCATGACCTTAAAAAAGCGAATTTTCACGCCACTGACAATTTCATTCCAAGTTCCGGTTATCTTCTAACCTTGAATTTCAAATGCTAATTAGCGTGTCATGCGAAACGACTACTTGTATCTTAGATTGTCAAAGCAAATTAATGCGGAATAGGTAACAATGCCATTCAGAGTTCAATATGACCTTGACAATGGATTTTAAATTCTCTGGGATCATAAAAAATACATTTATCAACAAATTTAGCATAATTTAAGTAGAAATTTCTATACTCCAACATGTGACATACTAAGATTTACAAGTCAATAATCAAAACATCTTTTACACAAACAAAAACTAAAATCTCAATGGGCTAGTCTTCTACTTATTGTTATTATTTGAAACAATCAAGTAACTTTTTCCCTGAATAAATAGTCTGAAAAAGGCTGAAGACAATATTTTCATCATAGTATGCAAAATGATGCACATCCAATCGTGTTTCTGTGTGTTTGTTTACTGAAAATGTTAGCAAATATGATCAATTTCAACCCATAGCTGTAAAATATTATGCAATACTGAAACCCCTGAATATTTATGGCTTTCTGTAATTTACGATTAATACATTGAAGAAAGTTAACTACCCTATTCACTGAACTGCTTCATTTAAAAAGCGAATATAACGATATTAGATTATAATAAATAAAGCGATTGAGCTGGCCAACTAACCGGTTAATTTTAATTGCCTCAAATTAGAATTCCTCGATACAGTAGAGGCGGTATTCATCTTCTTATCCGGATTTAAACATGCTCCAACTTTGTTAACAAATGCCTCATCATTTCGAGACTGACTTTGTGCTGAATTCTCCAGTAATAGGTGAGTAGAATAGATAAAAGTGCTGTGATTGAAGTGTTCAACGGGTTGTGAATTATTTTTCTGACCAACCATCTCTTCACTTTTACTCCTTACAAGTACATCATTCGCACGCTTTGAAGTCCTAATAGACAATCCCGTTTCGTATAATGTCTGCCTGATTCGCCGACTGTTTACACGCAACACTGGTAGCACTGATGGTAATGAATTGCAAGTAAGTGGGTTCGCTTGTTGTGGTTCAGTCTCATCTGTTTCACTCGACACTAATGAACCCTGTGATACGAATACATGAGACGAATCAAGTTTATTGCCTGAACAATTTCGAAACGATTTCACTGTACCCTTACAGGGAGTATTTGGTGGTACTGAGCTCCTTACACAATCAGGTTGTAGCAGATAACTATCTGAATGATATCCACTACTTAAATAGAACGGTGGGATATAAGTTTTCCTGCTGTCCAACTCTTCCCAGTTCCATATTTGTTTGTGTGTTTGTTTTTGATCGCTTCGTTGTTGGTGACACAGGTATTTGTATGTAGATTGAGCTTCGCGTTGATTTTCTTGATCACTTTCATGGTGGTCATTGTTGTTCTCAGTATCGACAGGTTTCATGAGATTCAAATCGAAGTTGTAACATTGACGAAATTCTTCTACATTTTTCTGACATATCTGAGTCAATATCCGTTGATTGATGATTCTTCGACTCACTTCGCTGCTGTTGCTATTCCGTAGATTTGAGTTTAATTTATTCTCTAACGGTGTAAACAAGCACCGTATAGGTTTAACGACATTTGTCTCCTGTTCCATATTGTAATTTAGCAGTTAGAAGAAATAAGAATAAAAAATGAATATCGGTGATAATTTCGTATATTGAAATAAATCTTTTGTTATTGTGGCGTTATGATTGGTGAATAAGGAGATGAAACGTATAAATAATACGACCAATGAAAATTGAACACGTGACAAAATTAATTCCCACGGGGATAGAAATTGTTTGCTGGTGTGACCACGTGTCCAATAAAAAACAATAAATTCAAAAGGTAAGGAAATTATTTGCTGATATTTTTTGGTGCTGAATATACACGAAGCGTTCACACGGTGTAAAGTTGTAAATTCTATATTACAACAATTAGGAAGGGGAGATAAGGTGACTTTTTCAATTTGTTATGCTTTCACCCCGTCAAGATTTCCAAAGATGCGAAATTCAGCCAGAATGATAGATTGCAAAACTGTTCAGATCTGGCTGGAGCAACCGATTGGACTATGACTCATTAGTCTAGTCATTTGACTTTTGACAAGTGGGTCGTGAGTTCGAACCCCATCCTACCAACAGAGGATTGAATAACCAAACCTTACACAACAGGTGTGGCTCGTTACCAACTACACTAAAGTGCACATGGTTGCTGATGGCATTCTGCTTTTTGATTTCTTTTTGACCTTAATTACGATGTCAAAATGATGAAATTTAGCGAACATCTGGTGATCTCTGAATCACATGACATCGTTCCTAAAACTCAATACTGCTGCGAACTATTCGTCACACAATGTTACTGATTTATAATTTATGATCATTAGGTATTTATCATACCCCAGGAGCATCAATAAAATAAAGGCTTCATCGCCACTAAGTAAACTGCTGCATACTGAATATTCGGGTATTTCCAGTGGAGCCGGTTCGCTAACAGAGGTCCAGCAATTCGATCAAGTATAACAAGGAGAATTCATAACATCTGGCTAATACCCTTTGCCCAAGGCTTACATGCTTCACTGACCCATTGGGTAAAGCTTGGGCATTCATAGTGATGAGTAATGGGTTTGAGTCTCACAAGAAAAACCATCACTCACTGGGGTATAAGTTCATCTAGCTGATGAGTCCTAAATGTCATGAAATCCGCCGCTGAATAGACTACTATCTGATCAGTATCTAAGCCGTGTCCAAGCCTCCGCGCAGGAACCAATCTGACAACAAAAGAAGAGAAATTCGACCACTTATTGCAATGGGAAATGGTGAATTTCAGTGAACAGTACCTTTCCACCTCTTTCAGTCAATTTAAGCGAGCAGTATCTCTTCATACTGTCCAAAGTGAATGATCCACTAATATTTATTGGTCACCAGTAATCTTAAAAATAAATAAATTTTGCAGCAAACACCTCAGGCCATAATGTGAAGATCACTTAATTTAGTATAAATCAGTAAACAGCTGACTGAATGCCAGTTACATGTGATCATTTAGACATCCGAGAAAAGTAACTTGTCAGTTAACGATCTGGTATTTGTTGAATTTGAGTCAGTTTACATTACCTGCACAAGTAACATGTGGTAGATAATAATAATAATAGTAGGATCTAGAACAGTATTATTTATACCCTTGTAATAATTTCACACACAAGTCTATTAGTTCCTTTTCTAACAATCAAGCAGTCATTATACATTATTGAATGACTTGCACTGTTCTAAGCCGCTTAGGCGGATAAGTATGTTTTGTCAGCTACATCTATACACTGGATGGTAGTTGCAGTTATTTGGGGCCGAGCTGGTCAACGGTGTACCTGGAGGAATTCAGTACATAGAGTCGAATATTTCAGACCACCTGAACCTGACTTGGATAGCGTCTTGGATACTTGTAATTAGATTCCTTAATTATGATTAATGTGTGCTATCCAAAATTGAGTATTCCTCCCAGATCACGTACCCGGTCTATCAGTGACATGATTACGTAACCTATGAACTATCCTACCTTTAAAATAGGATTAATGTCAGTTACTTGAAGATTTTCTGTAAGAATCCTTATAAGGCATCAACTAGTGCTCGAAAATAGGTTAGTCGTAAAGTCCTTTGATTCTGGCATAGCGTAACATCAATCTCAATCTTCGAGAGCACATCGTCTGTCTTGATATTGCTAATAGACAACTTCCTGCCAACAAATACGACAGTGGATCTCTGAGGTTAATGAAAATTCTGCGAAATAGTTGATGGAGTTTGGTCATCACTTAGGAACAGATGAAATGATATCGTTTATTTGTTGAATATCTAGAGAATATTCAACAGAATTCATCAACTCTACAAACTGACAATTATTCAACTGCTACGTTTATTGCTCTTATGTGGTGAAGAATATCTCGTCATCCGCGAAGTAAACTCTTTTAAGTGAATCAATTCTCAAGCTGTACATTTGTATGCAGACTGCAAAACTTCAATACGTGGATAAACAATAAGAGACTGAGATAACAATTCTGGTGGTTATGATTACAATAATGTTACTAGTTGACTGACCTTTGTGTTCAAAAGAAGCATGTGAAGTCTTTGTCTCTACCTTGGCCATAATTCATATCTTTCTTCGTTTGTTTCGTTTTTCTTCCAATTTCTCCCTTTGTTAGACTAAGCTGTGTACTTTTATGTCGTCATTATCACTATTGTCGGTCTTACATTTAATAGTTTCTGATATTACTTCCTTTAATCTCTACAATAATTACAACTTTTAACAAAGCATTTTCAAGGTAGTATTCATCACGAACTGGCATCAGCTGGAGGAGGACGGTTGAAGACCTGGGAGCACTGGGCAGCTACCGTTTCGTCCCAGTATGGGATTCCTCAGTAGCCTGCACCCACTACGCCACTCCACCAGGGATCGTACCCAGGACTTCCATGTTCCACAGCTAGTACGTTATATTTGAGCCACTGGGCTGTCATTTAATGGTCCATATTTCCTACTTCTATCAGTTCACGATATAGCACGATCTTCATTCATTCTATAAATAAATCCCTGTAAACCTCCAGACTGAATTACTCTCTGCAAATCATTAGTGACGCTTCCAGATGAGATTCCTGAAGTTCTAAAGAGAAGTTGTTACCGATAGAGCGAACCAAGTCAAACGTGTGGACAGTCACTCACCGATGGCATTAGACGGAAGTCTTGCTAGATCATTAACTAACAAAAGTAGGAAATACAGACCACTGGTTGTCGACCCAAGGGCTCAGTGGTAACGCGTTGGCCGCAGCACCTGGAGTTATTATTATTATTATTTGCCCCTTGGATCCTAGTGGAACATACCGCTTCAGTAGCACGTCTCCATTCCACTCTCTTCTCTGCAGTCTTCTCAACCTGGCTACACGACAACCCACAAGCTCTCATTTCTTCCTCACATAATCTCCTCCATGTCACCCTCGGACGCCCAACTGGTAGTTTTCCATCTAGGTTTCACTCGAGTGCCTGGCGCGTGATATCCCCGAATGGTCTTCTCAATGTACGCCCAATCCATCTCCACTTTCTTCTGTATATTTTTTTCACCTGAAGGTGAACGGTTATATTCCTGGATGGGTGAGGCTACGGCTGCGAACTACCGATGGGACATAGATTAGGACGAAACAGCAGTTGTCCAGTACTCCCAGGTTTCCATTGTTTCTCTAAGTGATATCAGTCCATGATGAATGCCAATCTGAAATCACTAGACCCCTGCAAACCTCCAAATAGAATAATCTCTCTGTTCGAATGACTACTTCGGTAGTTATTTTGATTCGAGAAACTCCGTTCCAATTATGTATATAATTGAGAAAATTTGCTACCATTTGTTAATCTTGTTATGATACTTGTAGTTTCCCTTTGATGGACATGGCCTAATTGCTCTCTTCTGTCGGCAGATGAACTCCTGTGTGGATACCTCGATACTGCCGGCTGTTCATGATGTTATGCTGATGTTGACGTTTGAAGCGATGGGTAATGGGTTTGAGTTTCAGAGGGAACAAGGTCACTCACTAGGGTGCAGACACACCCAGCTGAAGAGTTCAAAGTGGGACGAAAAGCGCATTCTGGATTCCACTGCTAGCCAACAAGCAGATTTTCAGGTTAGTCGCCTTAGGATTTTTTCAGGATGCAAACTAGAAAGCAACAGATATCTAGTCACCTGTATAAGATTTGCGCTATCTGGTAAGTGACTTCCTAACTCTTTTAAACTTTTATTGTAATAATCTACGCGTAACGTAGGGTTTAGCTAGTACAATGCCCTCCCCATAGTGGTAATAATTCTACATTTACTTTAGAGATTGTGATCATCCTTTGATTGTGTAAATCAACATAATTCAACCTAATTTGAATAATCTCTTCTTTATCATCACCACTTAGGATTATCTCTTGCTTAAGTGTGAATATCAGGTGCAGCACAGTTGTTTCCTGCCTCAGGCTATAAGATGCTTTAATCATCTGAAATTGACTAAAATGTATATTTGATTCATTTTATAATCAGAACACTATCAATCCTTTATTTCCCGCCTAGTTATCCAGCCTTCCTACTCTACTTATAATTTTTTTTATCTCATCAATATGCATCATGTATAATCTGAACTGATTAATCCATCCACCACCTTATTTATACTGATTCTTATCCTTCTCATTAGATATTCAAAGCCGTAAAAGATAGGAATCCATTCACAAATGTCTCATCGTCAGTTTGTTTTGTAACTGGAAAATTTTTATTTAGATTATTAACAGAAAATATGATATATCTGTTATGAGTAAAACGCGGATAAACCCTGATTTCATGTGGAATAAACTATTATGCATCCCCTGTACAATTTTCGCAGCATTCAGTACAATATACAAACATTGCATAAATTTAATGAATAAATAAAGTAAACAAGTGTTTTCTGAGGTTAATGGTTGTTTAGTTGTAAACTTGTGATCTTGTTATGCTTATTGCAATGTTAACTTAGTAGACCTTCGTTGTACGACTGACAAAAGCATCCATACATAAACAGATCATACAGATAGGAATCAATGTAGCTATTTAGTCTTTTCTATTGAGTGCATGTG